TCCATTGTACAGCTATGTTTGAGTGTATGGATCTACTTCACTTTCTGCCGATTGGCTTTTCTCTTCTTCCTTTTGTTCTTCCAGCCTTCAGTTCTTGACAAATCCACTTGACCGTCTCGAGCTATGTTGCCCTTGGTAACCAGGGGGAAATGCTCATGGACGTCATGCACAGCAACAAGCGACGGCTATGAGAAATATTTTATAAAGCAGAGGAGGGGAAGAGAAAATCAGCCAGGAAGCAGAAGCCAAATGGGAAAGTGTGGAAAGGAAGTGCAAAAAAAAAAAAAATCTGACAAACATTATGTCTAGTGATGGATGTTTTCTGGCTGATAAAGAGTAATGGATATAAGTAGCTGTGAAAAGAGGGTGGTCATTTTTCGGATTGTCATTGGGTTTTAATGTAACATGTTGGTGTGATTATGTTGACTAATAAATTTACAAAAAAGTAAATATTAATTTAGATTGGGAGATTATAGCATGAGCTGCCATATGATAATCATTAGTGTTTACTCAGATTACAAGTGAAAACATATTTCTGTGTACCTTGGGTTATCTAAGTGATGGTTTCATGAGAGATCATTGCCAACAGTGACTCACTCTTTATGGAGATTAGAGAGTCATGTGAGTCTCTTTCACAGCTCCTCCTATAAATTTATCCTTTAGTGACACTGAGGAGCTTATCGTACTCTCCTCACTCAGACATAACAAGACTTGTAATCAATCTGCTCCATTTACGGTTCCACAGTCTCACTGATGTAGCTTGAAAGTAAGATCCTACAGAATGTCCACATTATGGCTAAAGTTCACAAACGCAGCTTTGACTATGTGAAACTTCCCTCATAAAGTGTCAAATAAAACTGCAGTTTATCCAGAGTAATAATAGTTAAACAGTTAGGTAAATAGGGAAGGATTTTTAACCAGCATTATGCCAAAGGAAAAAAGTATGACTCAAGATAGAATTATTCATTAAATAGGTGTAATGTTGGTGTCAGCTTGAGAGTATGGGGATTTCTGTATACCTGGCTTTGATAATATAAATATTGCAGATGAAACAAGGTAAAAGACTCGAACACAACTCGGAACATATAGCTTCTTAATTTAGTCATTTTTAAATAAATATCTATTATAACAGTGGAATCATCACAAACCTTTAATAGTTGTATAACTTCCAAAGCTAACTGTTGATGTAGAAAACCTGAAATCTGATGCTTATTAGAATCCCGCCTTGTTTTCCATGTCATTTCGAAATAGCTGACATTCTTTCTTCTAAATGTGAAATACAAAACAGACAACTAGTGCAGTAAAGCATGTAAGAAAATACTTTACTTTTTTGAAGTTAATCAGTCTCTTGGACCTGATGATTAGTAATCCATGACTCCCTGTCTCCCTAAAGTATCAGTATGACATGACTTAGAAGCCTCTATCTTTTTTTTTTATCTTACTGCTACTCATGGAGAATGTAAGGAGATGTAACTTCATCTGCAAAAACCACTGTAAGGATCTTGGATGTTACCAATAGTATAACAACTAAATGCTATACTTGCCCAGTTGTTTAGGAGCGATGGCAAATGTGATCTCTAAGGTCTAGTTTGTTCTACCTTTCAAAGCTGAAAATGCAGATTTAGCTAAAGGAGGGACTTTCAAGGTCCTCCTCCTTCAAACCACATCACTATTATTTATGTAAATATTTTGGTATTGCTTTGCTTAAAGATCCATGTATGTTTTGATGATTCTGTGGAGTTTAGATATGTGTAGCACCACATGTTATGTTTCAGTTGCCTTGTCATTTAAAATGCTATACGTGTGAAGTGTGTTCTTTGAAAACTATTCATGTAGCCTACTGTAAAAAAAAAAAAAGAAAAAAAAAACTCCCTCAGTGGAGCATGTTTGGATCCAGCCCATGAAAGTCTGAGCTTCAAGTATTCATGGTCATACTTGCTTCTTTTTTGTGTTTGTTTGATTCAGACTCTCTCTGTCAGGACCTTGGGTTGTTTTGGGGTTTAATTCACTGATTCTAGTTTCATTATTATTCTGTGTTCCTTAGTCTATCTGATTAGATTATCCGTGTTTCTGTTTTACTTAAGTTCAATTTGTATTAGTGATTTTAGTTTATTATGTTTCTTTCTTGTGTCTAGATATCCTAGTACTATATTATGTTCTGTATGTCAAGTCATTACATTGATTTCTTAGTCCCCTGTATACTCTATCTCTCTTGCTCTCTGGTATGTCTTTTTTCCCCTCATCGCACAACCTCCCATGAAGGTGCACCCCACCAACCTTTCAAGGGCCCCTCAGAACACACCCCATATTTTGAAAAGCCCTGACTTAAAGCCTACCTTGAAAAGTTACAGGGCAATGGAGTTGGACACCTGTGCATTAAATGATATAGGAGAACATTTAAGAGTCGTTTTGGCAAAAAGTACTTGAACTATTGATGCCACCAGACATAATTGTGCCAGTTATTTCTTGATGAGGGATTTAAAAGTCCAATTTTACAATGTGAATGAAGTTATTTATTTTCTTCCACATTGTTCCTGGAAGAAGGAACGATGTGGAAGAGTCTACAATATTGCCAATATATCTTTTGCCAACACTGTAGTATTGACAAATTTCTACCAAAGTGTGTTGGATGTTTTAGAAATCATCCTTTCTAAGTGTGTCCCTCGTTCATCTTGGTGTTCCTATCTCATATTATCTTTCTATTGCATAAAAATAGGAAATTTTTGTGCAATTTAATATTGAATCAACAGAACATTAATCTGGTAGGCAATGTCCCAGAGACTGTTGTAATGATGTAATGTTATGAGAAATTCCAGGTTTCTGTTCAACTTTTCACTTTGTATTTCAAAGATTTTTGCATGTCATGTTGTACAAACAGAAGTTGTAGCTTATAAAAGCTAAGCTTATCACCATAACCCGATGTTTTACTACAAAACTACTTTTTAGGATGAAAATATTTCAGCATGTATCACATGGATCAAATAAGTATTCCTGTCCTCTAAATATGCTGTTTGCAAATTTCACAAAAATTCTAGATGCTGCACCCTCATCATTTATTGATAAAATAGAATACCCATGAACAGGCTGAGAGCTATTAGTCACAGAAAAGGAATCCTTTGATGTTGGCAAGTATCATCTATAATATCATGTATAATCACTTGTGCAAATTCAAAATCAGTCAGGGAAATATCTCTATATGAATTGCTGCAATATTTAAGGTGTTCTAGAGGGCAGATTCTAAACCTTGGCTCCCTTCTTGACTCCTCAGTTTGTTGCATAAACTTGTTGAAGAGAAGTGCCTCCAAAGCTCATTTCCCACTGACATCAGCTGAACTGTGGCGATGCTTCCGGATGTGAACATTTTATCACGCTAAACTACATTTGTGAACACAAACATAAGCAAATTACAGTGCATTAACATTGTTGTGACCATGTAAACACCAGCGCTGATGGTGTAGAGGGCATCACCACTGTGCTTTCCACTGTGAGCAAAAGGAATACATTAGTCTTGTTTCCACAAAGCCTAGGAATGCAAATGGTATTCAATGAGATTCAGTGTTTATGTTTTTACATCTATATTTTTAGCTCTCTCTGGAATGCTTCATTGGGAGTTGCTTTTACTCATCAAAAAATATCTGACAGTTTCCCAAAAATACTGCAAAGAGTAAGACTAAGCAGGAAGGAGCATCGTACTGCTCTTTTGAAAAGACAGAGGGTAATATATTCATTTGAACTAGATGCTCTACAAACCTTGAAAACAAAATGTTAAAACAGGACAACAGTTTTGATAGTTTTGGCTGTTGAAACTTGACATATAAATGAGCAAATATTTTTGATCATGATTACATTTTACTACAATTACAATCACACAAAGTCTCCATAACTATAAGTGAACTTTTACATTTTACCTGCTAAAACATATGACTTGTGTTTTACAGCAGTTAATTCCGTTGGCATCCAGCTAACTCTCCAAATAAATATATTACTGTAACTTCTGAACTGTAATATTCTATCAAATATTGCCATTCAGCAGTTCTTTGTGATTGTGATCTTCTGTCAATTTACATTTTAGTTGTCTTTTGAAGGTCATACTTCTTTAGTCTAGTTAGCACCATAAACACAGCTAAAGGCACAATTTCCCTAAATCATTATTTTAACTTAAAAATTTTGAAAATACTTCAAATATTTCCAAAGGTTGGAACCTCAAAAGATAAAGAAAGGGAAACTCCATTCTAATACAGTCAGACTTCTTATCTGCTGAAAATTCTGCTCCCTTCAGTTGTCTTGCACCTGAATTCAGAAAATCTTAACATGTCACAGAAGAGGCAGTTTAATTTTTAATGGCGTCTTGCATCTCTGTCCTTCATTTGATCTCATTTTGATATTACTTTTTCCCTGCTGGACTATATATACCTTTCTAATAGGTATATATACCTATTCTTGGAGTTTTACTATGTAACAATCTGGTAAGATCCAAGCCCCCTAAGTAAAGTTTGTCATGTCAATCTTATATTTATATGCCTTCCATAAAAAAACAAAAAAAATTTTTTTAAGGATGTAAAAAGTTTCAAAAAGTTAGAATTATGGCTTAACGGATGCTTTATGGATATCAAGACACCAAGTTTAAGGGAGAATATGATCTCATTTACAACATAGAAGCCATAAAACTCTTTCAGACATTTTATATGCAACCAGAAAAAAACTGAGGGAGTAGCAGAACTGGGGTGGATATCACTATTGTTTTTGGCAGATCATTTGCATGTGTTCTTGTTTTTTGTACTGTGTGCAAATACTGATTCAAATGAAATGGTAATTTGTGAATATACAGGAAGTCCTGCCTCTCGCACATGGAATCTTGTTTGGGGTTACTGAACTGAATTCAGTGAAGAAAACATGCTTTTAAAGATGCATCTACCTCTTGGATACAATATTTTTTCAAATTGTCACTCATGCCCACCATCTCTTCATCCATTCCTCCATGTTCCCTATTGCTTCCCTTCTCTCTGCATACACACACAAGTCCGCTCTGACGCTCTCTCTCTTTTCCTCACTCCCTCCCTCTCTGAAAAACACACACACTCATGCTCTGCTCAGCTCTAAAGGAGCGGTAGCTTATAAACTGGCTGCAGTAAGCAGTCATTCTCTCAGTGAAGGGAGAGAAGGGAGGGAAAGAGAAATTGCTTTGACTGATCGGACCAGAACTCTGCTGACCTAACTGGACTGGGTCATTCTGGGATGTGTTTTTTCCTTTTTTGTTTTTTGTTTTTTTTTCTTTACTGTGTTTCTAATGAATTTTGCCAGGCAGGTCCGGGCTCGAATAGACTGAATTAGCAAAGTTCTATTCTTTCTGGGCTTTATGTTGTCGGATTGGGAGGAATTCTCCTGCAGGTCTGGAGGATAAAGAGCTGGACATGGAATTCCCTGCTTTTTTGCATCCCACCCTCTCTCTCAATTTTTTTTCATCCTGCCTTCATCTTCTTTCTTACACTTCCACTGCAGACATCCAGTGTTGAGCAGACAAAGGCAGCTGGCTTTTGTGTTTCTTTTTTGTTCATGGGGAATAAGGGAGAAAAGGGAGCTCCCCTTCTCTTTTAATTAATTTGCCTTCGGAAAAAAAGGAGATGCTTGTTTGAGAAAATACCAGCAGATTTTTTCCTCCCACTTTATCAGAGAGAGTGCTTTTGGATTGTTGCTGTTTTTATCATTTAAGCTGACACTTTCTTAGAAAACGCACACCTCTACTGCATTTGTTTTTTATTTTTGCCATTTTTCTTTACGCCCTACATCCCATCTGCATTTCTGCTGGTGGAGGTTGTGGTGGTGAAGCCGGGGTAGGCATGGCGCAGCAGGGAGGCACAGGGGTGGCCCACCAGGACACCTTGGCAGTGCCGCCCATGCCCAAACACTCCGGCTTGAATGAAGACCTGGTGAAGATCCTGCGGGAGAACCTACTGCAGCCGGAGAGGCCGCGGGGACACCGGCGGTCGCCGTCCTCCATCTCCCCACGCCTTTCTCCACGCAACTCGCCACGACTGCTCCGCCGCATGTTGCTCAACAACAACATTCACAAGCAGAGGCGCTTCACTGTTGCACATACATGGTGAGGGTTAAATGTCCAGCATGGTGGCTGCATGCAGAGTTCCATGAATCTGTTCTTCATTTGGCATGATGTGTGGTTTTAACTGCACCCATTGCAAACTTCCAAGCATATAACTTTACTTAATACTATGTGACTGGGAAGTTACTGTGGAATAACCCCTATGAGTCATTAAAGTTTGTTTGCAGTTTAGCTTGAATGCAGAGAGGAACGAAAGAATACAGTGTCAGCAAATACCTCTTCTAAATTCCTTTTTCTGAAATCTCCTTGGAAACCCACTTCTCACCTTTAGATAATGAGTTTCTGCTTTGCTCTTTCTCACCTCATTTCTATTCCAGTGTCTCGCCCTCTCTTTGCTCTGTGTGTCTATTAGCCATACTAATAGACGTACTTGTCTTTCCCTTTTTACGTCTTCCCCTGTTCCCCATTTCTGTATTTTTTTTTTCTGCAGTTGTGGTCTCTTTCAGTCAAAGTAAAAAAAATCGTATTATAGTAAAGAACAGAAACCTACTACATGTATTCCCCCTCGCTGTGGTTTTCTCTCCACACCTGCCAGCCTGCATTTTTTGACTATTAATTAGTCGTCTATTCCTGGCTGTCTGTCAGCCTCTGTTGCATCTGCCCGCACGTCATCCTTTTCTTCAAGTCATATTTGTTCCTCTCTGCACTCTTCCCCTCCTCCCAGCTCTGATTTCCACCTTCTAACCAGTTATGTCTCCTTCTTTCCCTCCAAAACACCTTCCTTTTTCAACATCCCTCTTCATTTTCATCTCTTTTTTCCCCCTCCATTTTTACTCCCTCTCTCATTTACTGTATGTCTTGTGTCCCACTTCTTCCTCTGCCAGAAAATAACGACTTCCTTCTGGCATCTGTATTAAGACCTGATGCAATTCAGAAATTCCTATCTTCACAAACACATCAGGAACTCAGTTATTTCAGCACAGTGATCAAATCGAAATGTATAATTGGTAGTTATATCCACAGCACAAATGGAGGTCATTTAATTATAAATGCACTCAAAAATGGAAGGGTTAGGTATTAATTTTGTTTTTTCTTTGTTGTTGATTTCAGGTTACAGACCACCAGCTGTTTTCTGTTAAGGATAAGGGACATTTTGTTGTTTTGATTTTACCCTTTTTACAAATACATTTTTGAAAAGAGTAGCATGCATTTCCCTCAGATCCCCTAAGACAATCTACAGAAGCAACTTTTTATTAAATTGCAGCTGCAGGTGTTTGAGGATATTTCTGTACACCTCAAATTGAGTCTGATTTAAAATGGTCTCGAGATGTAAAAGACCAATTTTAAGTCTTAAAACAGACTGTCAATATGAGGTCTAGACTTTGGTTGGGCCATTTCAACACATGAATATTCATCTAAACAATTGTAATTCTGGCTACATAATGAGAGCCTGTTGTAAGGAGAACCTCCCCTTAGTCATTTGCGGACTCGTAACTGGTTTTCTTCCTGTATTGCCAAGTGTTCAGCTTCATCCATCATCCCATCAACTCGAGCTCTCTGAGTGTGCTAAAGCAGCTCATTCCCAAAGCATGATACTGCCATCAGCGTTATTCCAATGTTATTTTCCAAGCCCATTTGATTGGTCTGAGTTGCAAGATCATGCAGCTGGAAGAACGCCTACGTAGGGTCTTGTACCATTTTTTACCGCAAAAAGGTTGGCATGAAGGTCAAGCAGCCCAATGTTGTTTTTATCTGACCTGAGCACCTTTTACACATTATTTTTTTCTATTTGTGGAAAACAGTGCTTCTTTTAGGTCACATATGGCACATGATAGCTTTCATGTGTCTGGTTGCTTCATGTCTGATGCTTTTATGATGTTTGTTTAGCACGTTGGTCGGTCTTGCTGTTTTTAAAGTGCTTATAAGTAGAGTTGGATTGGTTGTAAAAATGGAGAATAACTTACACATTTGTGAATGGTGAAATATTTGTGAAAATTAAGCTAAAAACAATTGGTTGCACTAGACTGTGTGAGGGCATTAGAGTACAGGGGCCTGTTTACAAAGGTGCATGCCAACATTTTTGCAATATGCACTATTCTAATTAAAAAATAATATATATAAATAAAATATTAATATTTTCCCATTGTGTGATCATCACTGTCATTTAATTATTAAATAATGACAGCAAGGGATAAAATTAACGAAAGAAGACAATTAGATTCAATAAATTCAAGAATAGAAAAGAAAACTGGCAACTCAAAATGCAACTCACTTAGAGCATCTAATACCACCAGCAAGACACAAATCTTTATATTTTCACTGGAAATCTTTGGATTTTCTACCAACAATCGACATCTTGATTTATTTATTTTCTGAAGAAAAGCATATCACAGTCAGATATAAATAACAGTCAAGATAAAAAAAAAAAGACATTACCTTCACCTTCCGCTGTGACTGCGACATCTTACACAGAGCACCAATAAACCTGCGAAAAATTTGTCACAAGAGACATTTTCGAGGTTTATCTGCCATTTTTATCTCGGCACACATGCTGTCTGACAGAATGTCCTATTTCAGTCTCAATCATACACAGGTTTTTCCTTATATTTTATATTATGAGTGTTTTTGCGACATTATCTTACTTCCATCCATCTCCAAATTTCAGGGAAATTTCAGTACACAAGATCATGAAGATGTAATTTTATTCGTACTAGCATGTTTGGTTAAGGAATGTGCTAAGATATGAATGATGTCTTGATTAACTGTATGCATTTTGAAAATCTGACAGACGCCACATCGTTTGGCATTTCTTAAGTCAAAAACATGCTTAGTTTGTAGTCTTATTAAAGTGTTTACTTTACCTTTCACTTGATCTTCCTGAAGAAATGACCTTTGTACTTGAGACAGTAGGGACAATTGCCATACATATGCTACAAGTTTCTGTAGGCAGATCTTGGTATATTTTTAGATAATACTTTTCTAAAGGTTGTTGAAAAAAGGACAATATGTGAGAGAGGGCACAGTAGAAAATGAGTAATAAGGAAGTAGAAAGAGCACTTAATCAGAGAGTGACGTGGTCATGCCCTTGTGTTGTCTCTTGACATTTGAAAAAAGTGACTGAGTGAATGTCAGAGAGATAAAGTAAGTGTAGGAGGTTAGAAGAAAACTAGCCAGTACATGTGTAAGCCAGGGGGAAAAGACAGAAACAATTTGACAGAGGAAAAAATAAAATAAAATCCACCGTGAGACGCCAGTGAGTGGTGTGGATGTTGACAACTGCAGTGTAATTTACTCCAATCACATCCTCATTGTTTTACAGCTGCAGGAAATCACAGGACCACTGTGGTGTAAATCTGGTGACATACACTGTCCTCAGTGGCTCTGCTCCACACTTCATTAACAAGAAAATCCTTCTCCATGGGCCGATTGGCCTCATGTACAGCTTTATGGACTCAACTCCCTGAAAACTATTCACAAATTACATTACAGCTCCTCGGAGAATGCTTTGGAGAAAGCATCTCTAAGACTAATTGGCTCCTTTCCCCTTAAATAAATTAATTGCATGTAATTGTTAGCACTGATGCAACAAATATTATGTTGCATATTTACATATACTATTTAAAAATGATGATGTGAAGTTTTTTTCCTAATAGGTTTAACAACATCATCATTTTTTTTTTTTTTTTTTTCCTAATGCATATTTTTGTGATAGATAGGACCTCAAACATGATTGTTGAGTTACAACAGGGAAACTGATGCATGGCTTTGAAATATTTTACTAATGAAAATATAGTTATTCAGTCATGGACTTAGCAGTTACCGGAAGGTGTACAGAAGTGCAAGCTTTGACATTGTACGTTCTAGCTTTTTCAAATATCAACACTGAACTCTTTGGACATTCTTTCTCAGCAAAACCCATCTTAGTCAGATTGCATGGAAAGCATAGGTGAAAATCACTTTTCAAGTTATATCAAGTTTCGTCAGCTACTTTGTATGTTGGTAATGCTAGAAAATTGTAATCGTGATTGAAAATATTTGCTCATTTATATGTCAAGTCTTATCTCTGTCTTTGTATTTAGGGATGTTGTCCCCTTGGAAGATAAACCTCTTCTTCCAATATCAAGTTTTCTGCTCCCACTAACAAATTTTCTTTCAGTCTTTGTCTCATTAACTGACCAGCCTCCTGTACCCTGCTAATAAAAGCATGCCCAAGGTATGATGTGGCCACCACACTATTTTATGTCATGAGGTGTTCGTCATGTTAGTGTTGTGCATGTAGGCCAGAATGCTTACTTTTGGTCTCATCTTAGTGGAGCACCTTCATCCTACATGCTTGTGGGAAACTGTTAATATCTGCAGCTCCTCCAGTTACTTTGGGCCTCTTGGCTTCTTCTCTGATTTAAGCTATCCTTGCCTGGGCAGTTGGTTTGTGGGTACCCATATCTTGGCATGTCTGCATTGATGCCATGATTTTGCCATGATCAGACGGTGTATTAAAAAGGAATCCAAGAGATGCTTAAAGATTGGGAAATTGTCTTCTTGGCTGATCCTACTTCTTGACTCAGTTTAACTTTTTCTTTCGGGAAAGACACTTCACACACATCTGTAGTTCAATCATCTCAATTGCAGTCAGTGAAACTGATGTTATCTTGTCCAGCTCTCAGCAGCCTACACCAGCTGTGCGGTCTATTGTTGTAGGTATCCAGGAAAACACGGAGTGGAGTTTTAATCATGTGAGTACTCTCTTGTCTTTCAAGAGAATACTCTTTCACAAACCAATAGAAGCAGTGCTGAGGGAAGTAAGTTTTTATGGTAAATATGAGGGTCCAAATGAGTATGTTTGAAAGGGAGAGGGACATTTCCCCTTTGTACACAGTTACTGCAACCCACATGAAACATACAGACATATTCCCTAGTAATTTATCTTGCAGCTTTCCTATCAGGATGGTATTTGTGGCTTGTGGTGACTTACGGTGATAGAATTATGGTTTAAATAACACGTTCTTTCAAATGAATTTTGTCAAATCGGAAAGCAGTCAAAA